GGTTGCAGTGAGCCAGGATCGCACCACTGTGCTCCAGCCTGGGCTGCAGAGTGAGACTGTTTCAAAAAAAAGAAAAAAAAAAAAAAAAGACATGTCGAGCTCCTGTAAAACATCCCTGGCTGTCTCCGAAATGAGTGCGAGCGGCTTTTCGGAATGGTCTCATGACAGTGCCAGAACATGCTAGAAAAGCACAGTGCCTTACAGTTGCTATAACCCCCAGTGCAGGGGGCCTGAGGAGACTCTTACACATCCTTAAAAGAAACCAAATCTCCTAAGTGTAAGTGTCCCCAAAAGGGCTAAAAGCTAAACTGTTGTCTGCCATTATTAGCTCCTTAGAGTAAATGAGTTTCTCAGAGTAGGTGGTATTTTAGCGGAGCCCAGGGAATAAGAACTGAAAATGAATGGCGACGTTAAATCTTAAGGCGGAGAAGCGGGAAGGTAGAGCCCTGGGAAGGGCTCCTGGGAAGCGGGTGGGTAGAGCCCTGGGAAGCGGGTGGGTAGAGCCCTGGGCTGCGGGTGGGTAGAGCCCTGGGCTGCAGACCTGGGGTTCCATCTGAGTGTGTTTGCGGCAGGGTGTAGGGATTCCAGAGAACAACGAGGGAAGCCCCTGACAAAGGTGGCCTGCTTCAACTTCGCACTGGAACCCAGGGCCCGCTGATGGCCACGTGTCCATGGCCACAGCCAGCCAGGGCTGCCCTCTTATACCCTCTCCCTTTGTAAACCAAGGACCCTTCCCTGTCCGGGACCTTTTCAACAATGCGAGATTCGGCCGCCCCCTAGTGGCAACTGGGCAAAAGTTTTTCTCTTAAAATTGTCGACAACAGGATGATTTTATAATGGCATTTGGATAGTGCTTTACAGTTAACGGGACTGTCACAAATATTACAGTGTTTTCTACTGGAGTACGCCACCCACATCCCCATAGTCATCAGCCGCCTAAAGCATCCCTCCCTCTCCCGCATGACACAATACACCCTGGCTACCTCCAACACTCGAGCTTTCCCATTGCTTTGGCTTACCTAGTTTCTCCCAGTGGGCAGAGGAAAGAGTCCTGGAGCCTGCGGAAGCCTGGGGAGGACTGGGTGACTTCCGACTCCTCTGCTCCCGAGCTATAAGCCCTAGGAATCTGCAGACATTGTCTCTTAAAACTGGACATTAGGCCAGGCACGGTAGCTCATATCTGTAATCCCAGCACTTTGCAAGGCCGAGCTGGGTGGATCACCTGAGGTCACGAGTTCGAGACCAGCCTGCCCAACATGGAGAAACCCTGTCTCTACTAAAAATACAAAAATTGTCTGGGTGTGGTGGCAGCCGCCTGTAATCCCAGCTACTCGGGAGGCTGAGGCAGGAGATTCACTTAAATCCAGGAGGCAGAGGTTGCGGTGAGCCAAGATCATGCCATTGCATTCCAGCCTGGGCAACAAGAGTGAAACTCTGTCTCAAAAAAAAAACAAAACAAGGCCAGGCGCAGTGGCTCATGCTTGTAATCCCAGCACTTTGGGAGGCTGAGGTGGGCAGATCACGAGGTCAGGAGATCAAGACCATCCTGGCTAACACGATGAAACCCCATCTCTACTAAAAAGAAAACACAAAAAATTAGCCGGGCATGGTGGCAGGCGCCTGTAGTCCCACCTACTCAGGAAGCTGAGGCAGGAGAATGGTGTGAACCCGGGAGGCGGAGCTTGCAGTGAGCCGAGATTGTGCCACTGCACTCCAGCCTGGGCAACAGAGCCAGAATCTGTCTCGAAAAATTAAAAAAAAAAAAAAAAACGGACATTATCCACACTATCTCCCGAACCCGGCAGCCTACTGTTTCACAGTCTGCTGCTGCTGACGGCAATCGCACCGGCCACTTGTGTTTTTTTGTTTGTTTGTTTTTTGTTTTTTTTTCTTTAATTTTTTTTTGAAATAGTTAAGAGATTTTATTCTAATAGCTATAATTACAGTGCTTGTTTGTCGAAATGAAAACTGAAAACAAGTATACAAAACAGTTGATTACTAATCGTGTATTGAAAGCAGTAAGAGGTTCCATGACACCAGATAGACCAGTTCTGAGGTTTCCTCAAGATAAATTTTACAGCTCCAGCTTCTTCAGTGTTTATCAAAATACAAAAGAAAAAAGTAGAGGTTGCCTTTTTCTATGGCAAATCGGACCCTTGCAGGCTGAGGGAGAGAAAGCTACATCACACACAGAGGTGGGGTGCTCCCGAGGGGCTGTGGGTCTAGGTGGACCGCCTGCCCAGCTTGAACGCGCTCCCGCTGGTGAGGCCCCAGACATCCTGCCAAAGTGTCTGAGCGAGCATGAGTGTTGGGGATGACGGACCCACTGTGGCCACACGGTGACCGAGGGATAGATGGGGCCCTGGGTCCCATAGGCTGCCTGAAGGTGGGTGGGGCAGCCTGCGAGAGAGTGGGGTGGCTGTGGGCTCCCAGCCTGGCCCCTGGGAACTGTGGGAGCACAGAGATAAGCACATGGCTATGGAAAGCAGGGTGACCCGAGGACGAGCGAGTTGCGGGGATCTCTACTGTGGCCATGCAGAATTGACCGCGGTCTGCTTCGCCACCACCACCTCATGTTCCTGAGGGGAGCCGCTGGGCTGGTGACCGGCATCCAGGCCATAACTGCAAATCTATGCTAGGCGGGGTCTCCCTTCTGTGTGTTCAAGTGTTCTCGACTTGGATTCTTAACTATTTTTAAAAACGCACTGAGTTTGGGTTAAAAACCAACCACCAAAATGGATTTCAACACAGCTCTAAAGCCAAGGGCATGCCCGGCTCTCCCAACACAGCGACTCCTGGAGGCCAGGTGCCCATGGGCCTACATCCCCCTCTCAGCACTGAACAGTGAGTTGATTTTTGAAGCCTTCAGGGAAACAGGGAAAGAGCCCTGCCTCCCAAGCCCCCCAAATCCACCTCAGGATGGGGGCTGAGGGAAAACGGCTGAGTCAGAAATGGCTGCAGGCTGCGTCTGCCACATTTACAGCACGGTGCGATGCACACGGTGACCAAACCACGGAGGCAGCTTCTGGCACTCACACCACGAGCTGCACATTTGCCACATGAGAGTAAAGCAGAGGGCAAGAGGAGTGAGGGGGAGGGGGGTTGCATTTACTTCTGGTTCCGGAGCTGATTGGACAGCCAGTCTGGTCCTTCATAGAGCCCGTCGCCGCTGGTGGCACAGGTGGCCTGAATGTACCAGTTCCTGTGGCATAGGGAGTGCAGCCCCAGCTTGTCTGTGATCTCAGCCGCATTCATGGCATTGGGGAGGTCCTGCTTGTTGGCGAACACCAGGAGGACAGCATCCCGGAGCTCGTCCTCGGCCAGCATCCTCATGAGCTCCTCATGGGCCTCGTTCACGCGTTCTCTGTCATTGCTGTCCACCACGAAGCTCAGGCCTTGTGTGTTCTGGAAGTAGTGGCACCGCAGGGGCCGGATCTTGTCCTGGCCACCCACGTCTCACACAGTGAAGCTGATGTTCTTGTACTCCACGGTTTCCACGTTGAAGCCTGTGGCGGGAATGGTGGTCACGATCTCACCCAGCTTAAGCTTGTACAGGATCGTGGTCTTCCCCGCGGCATCCAGACTCGCCACGAGGATGCGCATTTCTTTGTTGCCAAAAAGGCCCGTGAAGAGGTTGACGAAGATGTTCCCCATGCTTGTGGACAGGTGGAAGGACACTGGCCAGGGACGCCTCAGAGGCTGCTGCTCCGAGCCAGGCGATGGTTTCGCTCCCACAAGATCTGTGTTTTAAGAGGCACACTGACAGCGAAGAGGCAGCAGACAGTGAAAGTCCCACAGGACACAGGACAGTGGTTCTCCTACTTTCAAAGGTTTCGCAGCCATGGCCCCAGGGCTTTGATTCTTAACTCCCTTGCTGAGATCACCATTGAAAACCCCAAGAGAGAAGCTCAAACCCTCTACCCTCCTCAGCAACTGCCCAACTCAGCCCAGAGATCCTGTCGGACCACACGATAGTCTCCTTTGTGTGGGGAGTCTTTTCGAGACTGTTGTTCTGCTTGTCTCTCCACAGGAAAAGGTAATCTGAGAGTTATACTGAATATTTTAAATGTTAGATACTGGGTGTGTTTTGGGTTTTGATGTGTTTAGTAAACCCCTTAGAGATGTTTAGTTTCAGGCAGGATAAGCCGGTTATTAAATTTTTTCATTGGCTAGGCATGGTGGCTCATGCCTATAATCTCAGCACTTTGGGAGGCTGAGGCAGGAGGATCACTTGAGCCCAGGAGTTTGAGACCAATAGGCAACATAGCAAGATCCCGTCTCCACCAAAAAAAAAAAAAAAAAAAAATTCTCAGACAAGATGTGGGGTGTGGGGCAGGGAGGGAGCCCACAGGGTCAGGCTGGCTTTTAGGACCCCATCAGATCAGCAGAGACATGCCCACCACTGTGGTTCTACCCTGTGTCTGGAAGTGGGTTCTCTCGTGGTCCTATTCCAGCTCCTGTCCATCAGAGCAGGTCCGGTTCCTCTCTGTTCCTTCCTCCCTGAGGCTGGTGCCTGGGAGGCAGGGCTCCCCTCTCATTGCCTTAATTCTTCCCAATCCCCTTTAGAAAGAAAGGACATCATCCCAACTGGTTCACCTGCTTTGTCTTGCCAGGAGAAATAGTTTAGCTCATACTAGGAATGAAAACTTTTTGTTTGTTTGCTTAGTTTTTGGTTTGGTTTTAGAGACTCTGTTGCCCAGGTTGGAATGCAGTGGTACTATCTCAGCTCACTGCAACCTCCATCTTCTGGGCTCAAGAAATCCTCCTACCTCAGCCTCCGGAGTAGCTGGGACTATAGGCATGTGCCACCACACCTGGCTAATTTTTTATACAGATGGAGTTTCATCATGTTGCCTAGACTGGTCTTGCACTCCTGAGCTCAAGCGATTCTCCCACCTTGGCCTCCCAAAATGTTAGGATTATAGGCGTAAGCCACTGTCCCTGGCCTACAAGAATTTTTTAAAATTAGGCAGGCATGGTGGTATGTGCCTGTAGTCCTAGCTGCTCAGGAAGCTGAGGCAGGAGGATCACTTGAGCCCAGGAGTTTGAGGCTGTAGTGAGCTGTGATCACACCACTGCATTCTAGCCTGGGCAACAGAGTGAGACCCTGGCTCTAAAACCAAACCAAAACAAAGCAAAGAAACAAAAAATTTTCATTCCTAGTATGAGCTAAACTTTGTTTCTCCAGGCAAGACAAAGTAGGTGAACCAGTTGGAATGATGTCCTTCCTTTCCAAAGGGGGCTGGGAAGAATTAAGACAATGAGAAGGGAGCCCTGCCTCCCAGGCACCAGCCTTGGGGAGGAAGGAACTGAGGGGAACTGGTTGCTCTGATTGACAAGAGCCGGAATAGGACCACAAGAGCACCCACTTCCAGACACAGGGTAGAGCCACACCGTGGGCATGTCTCTGCTGATCTGATGGGGTCCTGGGGGCCAGCGAAATCCTGTGGGCTTCCTCCCCACCCCACACCCAGTGGCAGTCTCAGCAGGACCCTGCTCAGACAGGTCATGACCCAAGGCCAGGGAGAATGCCGGATGCTGAGACTTGGACCATAGGAAGGAAGACTGGGGGTAGGTAGGGGCTTGGATCCGCTTCCTTTTTTTTTGTTTGTTTTTGAAATCGGGTCTTTTTCTGTCATTCAGGCTGGAGTGCAGTGGCATAATCTCGGCTAACTGCAGCCTCAACCTCCCAGACTCAAGCGCTCCCCCACCCTCAGCCTTCCAAGTAGCTAGGACTACAGGCACACACCTGTATTTTTTTGTAGAGATGGAGTTTCATCATGTTGTCCAGGCTGGTCTTGAACTCTTGGGTTCAAGTGATCTGCCTGCTTCAGTTTCCCAGAGTTCTAGGACTATAGGCTTGAGCCACTGTGCCTGGCACACTTCCTTCTTTCTTAATCACCCCTAACATTTTAGCTTTTCCTCCCATCTTTTTAAAAAAGTGCCTGGTGTTGAGCATTCAATTCCGTTAGACCATATGGGTGGGAAGAAGGAAGTGCATTTAAAAGCCTTTCATTCCTCCAACTATTGCAGGAGCCATCAGTGACACCCATCCCAGGGCTCACTTGCATTTGGACACTTCTGGATAGGGTGACAGCCACACATTCACTTTGCTGGGAGGAAACAATGCCCAGTGAGATGGGAGAAATATTATGAAGCCCAAAGGAAGAAGCCGTGTTGGCATAAACCTCAGGCTCTACACCCTTCCTTTCCTCTCTGTAGTTCTCTCCAGACCGTGCCAAGGTTTGCCACAACCCTCTCCAACCTTTTCTCAGACTTACCACTTCCTCTTTCCTATGCTATGAGCACCCTGATGCCCACTTTCCCTTTGAGTTCCTGCTTTTAGCAAAGGACTCCTCCCCTCCCTCACCTGTGGCCCCTACCTACCTTTCACACTTGGCCCCCTTCAGAGCCCTCTCTTCTGTCAGCAGTGTGGGTGCCTAGACTGTGCCAGGGGCTGGGGAAGCAGAGTCCTAAAATACAGTCTCTATCATGAAGAAGCTGTTTGCAGAGGTTGGAGGGGAGGTGTGGCCACAGGTAAAAAAAATAATTACAAAACTATGGCATGAATACTCTCTTAGAGGTTACTACAGACAGCCACTTAATTTTCAAAATTCAATCTTGCAAACAAATGCCCTTCCCCAACCCCTTTTTGGCCCTTTCTTTCTGCTTGAGATACTTTTGAGAGGGCTGGTCTTGAACTCTTGGGTTCAAGTGATCTGCCTGCTTCAGTTTCCCAGAGTTCTAGGACTATAGGCTTGAGCCACTGTGCCTGGCACACTTCCTTCTTTCTTAATCACCCCTAACATTTTAGCTTTTCCTCCCATCTTTTTAAAAAAGTGCCTGGTGTTGAGCATTCAATTCCGTTAGACCATATGGGTGGGAAGAAGGAAGTGCATTTAAAAGCCTTTCATTCCTCCAACTATTGCAGGAGCCATCAGTGACACCCATCCCAGGGCTCACTTGCATTTGGACACTTCTGGATAGGGTGACAGCCACACATTCACTTTGCTGGGAGGAAACAATGCCCAGTGAGATGGGAGAAATATTATGAAGCCCAAAGGAAGAAGCCGTGTTGGCATAAACCTCAGGCTCTACACCCTTCCTTTCCTCTCTGTAGTTCTCTCCAGACCGTGCCAAGGTTTGCCACAACCCTCTCCAACCTTTTCTCAGACTTACCACTTCCTCTTTCCTATGCTATGAGCACCCTGATGCCCACTTTCCCTTTGAGTTCCTGCTTTTAGCAAAGGACTCCTCCCCTCCCTCACCTGTGGCCCCTACCTACCTTTCACACTTGGCCCCCTTCAGAGCCCTCTCTTCTGTCAGCAGTGTGGGTGCCTAGACTGTGCCAGGGGCTGGGGAAGCAGAGTCCTAAAATACAGTCTCTATCATGAAGAAGCTGTTTGCAGAGGTTGGAGGGGAGGTGTGGCCACAGGTAAAAAAAATAATTACAAAACTATGGCATGAATACTCTCTTAGAGGTTACTACAGACAGCCACTTAATTTTCAAAATTCAATCTTGCAAACAAATGCCCTTCCCCAACCCCTTTTTGGCCCTTTCTTTCTGCTTGAGATACTTTTGAGAGAATGTTTGTTGCTGTAGCAGAAGATGCTGATGATGACAGGGCAGAAAGATGGGGAAAGCCGGCCGGGCATGGTGGCTCATGCCTGTAATCCCAGCACTTTGGGAGGCCGAGGCAGGAGGATCACCTGAGGTCGAGAGTTCGAGACCAACCTGAACAACATGGTAAAACCCCGTCTCTACTAAAAAAAAAAAAAAAAAAAAATACAAAATTAGCTGGGCGTGGTGGTGCATGCGTGTAATCCCAGCTATTCGGGAGGCCAAGGCAGGAGAATAGCTTGAACCTGGAGGTGGAGGTTGCAGTGAGCCAAGATAGCTCCATCGTACTGTAGCCTGGGCAACAAGAGCAAAACTCCATCTCAAAAAAAAAAAAAAAAAAAAAGATGGGGAAAGCCTAGGTTTTGATGGCAGCACTGAGCCACTGAATCTACTCTGGAATCACCTACCTTTAGTCTTCTCATTAAGTAACTAACATCTGTGTTGGGTTTAAGCCACTGCTGATTGACTTTTCAGTTACTTGCAGCCCAAAGCACTCTAACTGACATGCATTTTCTTCCATGTATGAGAGAAGAAGTTAGGGGTGAACTTGGGATGCACAAATTATAGTTCTGCTGATCAGCTGGGGCAGGCCCAACTTCTTTGTGGAAAGGAATAGAAAGACCTGTGGTGCATAGACCTCCTCTACCTTTACTCATTTAACTTACTCAGCCCATGTTTATGGCGTCGCACCCATGTGCCAGGCGTCACAGTGATTTGCATGGCTAAAATCAAGAGCAAATTCACACATGGTCCCAGTTCTCATGAAGCTTAAAGAGTCCAGTGAGGGAATAAGACATTAATCAAATAGCAGTTCTAACAAGTGTAGTATTTGAAGCAGAACTAAACATGTGAAGGACAGGGGCAGATGCTGTGAGAATATGCAATACATATGATACAAAACCTGGGGGCCAGAAAGGCCTCCCTGAGAGCTGGGTGATGGAGGAGGACTCGGAAGGGGGGTGAATTCGGCAGAAACTCCTGAGGGCTGGGAGCAGAGGCTGGAGCAGTGCAGGCAGAGGCCCTGGGGCAGGAGGGAACCAAGCCAGCTGGAGACACCTTTCCCCACCCAGAGAAGCAGACTGGAGTTTGAACTGGTTGAAAAGTTTGCCTTCCGTGCCTCCCAAAATCTGGTCTTCCAATGCCTCCCACCCTCTCCCCTGCTTCTTTGCTCATCCCACACTGCCCACAGGAATTCTGGGGTTCTTTGACTGAAACTCCCTACTTTTGAGGTTCTAGCCGGACTCACCTGCCACCCTCCTCCACCCCTCTAATGACCCTCGCTTCTTTCCTCGGAGGAACTAGAGAACTGCATTTTATAAAACGAACAAAACCCAGCCTGTAATTGGCAGGACTCAGACAGCAAGCCGAGAATTTTAGGCAAAAAGAGAGCCCTGGACATCATGTCTCCCATACGGCGGACTCCTCACCTCCTTGTAGCAGCCTGTGGGGGTCTGTGTGGGAGGCGTCTGGGGCGCAGATCAGGCTCTGTGGATGGACCA